ATATAAAATGCGTTTACATCCTTTTACTACTACTAATTTTGTTCTGAATACAGAGATATTTGGTATGAATACAGAGACATATGTAATGTGTTTAGCGAAATTAAAAGATCTCTACCTCGGGCTATAGTCATTATTTGATATGAACACTGTGTTTACTATTTTTTGCCTCGTTTATGGAGGACTGGATAAATGTGAAATGGGGAATTGTCGAGTAATTGATAACTGTCACCTGCATGGGAGAGGGGTGAGGGAGGGGAGAAGAGGGTGCGACACATGACACTTCCTGAAACGCGAACACAGTTCACTCCTTTGCGGGTCGTCAAAGACCACACACCGGGCCTAAGTGCTTTGCCACCATGTGGTGAATAACACATGACTATGTGCTGCTGCTGCTGCCGCTATGTGGCGGTGTGAGCCATGCCACAGCGTATTGCTGTCATTCAACGCAGTAACGTCCTGGCCTTCAAAGAGGTGAGTCGCACAAACGCTCGCTCCCACACACATTCTACGACCAGGCAACAAAAATTAGGCAAAAAAGAGAAGGGTGGGCAGACTGCATATGTTTGGATTGCCAGAAAGCCTTTGATACAGTACCACACAAGAGGCTAGTGAAAAATTTGGAGATGCAGGCTGGTGTGAAAGGGAAGGTACTCCATTGGATAAAGGAGTACCTAAGCAACATGAGACAACGAGTCAGTGTGAGGGGTGAGGTCTCAGATTGGCGAGACGTTACAAGTGGAGTCCCGCAGCGGTCAGGAATCTGTACACCAGTTGATTGACAGTTGAGAAGCGGGACCAAAGAGCCAAAGCTCAACCCCCGCAAGCACAAATAGGTGAGTACATCCATGTGGGCACGTGGCCATATGGTGACGCCTCTCAGGCCTATGAGGCAGCTATGTGCAGCCACTCCTTGCCCTTCTGGAAGCATGGTAGGGGAGGGGAGTGTGGAAAGAGGCCCAACCACCCTGTTTACAAAAACTTTTATGGGTCATTGACACACTCTATTTGCTAGTGAAACGACCTACCGCGAACACAGTCTTGTCTAACATAAAACTAATCACCCTCTTTCACCTGTTGACGACATCGGAGACCAACACCACGAACAGAATTGGGTGAGAAAATTATACGTTTTTGGTAAAAAATATATATATATATACACCACCTGGAACTTCCTACGTAAAACAGAGACATATTGTTTAAAAACACGAGAATGAAACCCTCGCTATCAGTCAAAGCTACGGTCTACACATGCCCTGCCTGAACCACCCATCTTTAAATCCCGATCTCCTACCCAGATCCATCCATGGGAGAGGGGTCCCCCTCTATACCCTCAACATACCCTCCCCTCTTACCCTTACACACATTTACCCCCCCCCCCACCCCAAGACAACGCCCGTCACAATCTACGGATCTTACACACTTTTGACTACATTTTTACCCTCACGACAACACCCATCTCAATCTACGGACTTTACACCCACTTTTAACAATGACTGAGTTCGATCCCCGAGATTAGGCTCGGGGTTTGGGACGATTGCAGTCTCAATTTACGGTACTCAACTCATGCAGAATTTTAGGTAGTTTTGTCTAATCAGAAGCGTTCGAATGTATGCTACCCAGCTAGGGTATACGCCAATCCTCATTACTGCAATAAAAAAGTGAATATGCCCCAACATGTTCCTTAAATGGGAAGACAGGTTTATTAAAGATTTATGTATACATATAACGCATGATACTGAGGCAGTGATATTTTCCGCCTTTTAGTGGCGGAAAATTGCCAATGACGAGATTTAGAAACGAGAAATGACAAGATTTCTCTTAACGAGAAGTCCTTGTGTAGACTAATCTGTCCCTTGTCTAGCCTCAGCCCTTATGTGTCTCTCAACCACGCATGCGCTACGGAGTAATCCATGGGCTATGCTGTTACTAATACTCAAAAAGTGTTATGTTGCTGGCCTTATTCACCACACACACTTAATTTAATAATACTAGTTTAGCTAATACTAGCTAATATACTAGTTAGTAAATAAATATATTCCAGCCGTACTTGCATATTTTAAAATCAGTTTGAAATAACATTATAGTTTTAATATCTTAATTACTAGTGTAAATATCTTATGTACTTTTTACTGCAAGATAACTTGAAAATAACAAAAGTTTCAGAAGGAAACGTTTGGTAGGTAGAGGCAGGTAAGGTACAGGTATGGTATAGTTTGTGTTGAGAGCCTAGCTCTGAAAGTGGCTGATCACTCAGCACTTAAGGAAGCCTAAGAGCGACGCACACGAAGATATTCCGCGTTAATGGAGTTTCTCTGCCACATCATGATGGCTGACGGGTCGTTGAGGACATCTTGGAGAGTCTGGTAGGGCTGAGGGACGTGTCTAACAGCCAGGAGAGCCATGAGGTTGCCGGCGTAGCTCCGTGTCAACACCAGCGCCACCATCATCCACACCACCATCACAATCCTCTCATACCACCGATTTTCACGCAAACTGGGATCTGAAAGAGAGCCAGATGAGATATATAAATTTACTGTAGAGAAGCTATTTTCATTAGCAAGCATTTCCAAGGTTAATGGGACTGTCTACGAACTGGGAAGCAAAGCGATGAAAAAATGGTCTTAAAACCACTTGGGCTATGGGGGATCGGACGCTAACACTGTAATAACCAGTTCAAGTGGATGTTCAATAACTGGTATCAGCACAACGCTCAAATATTCGATTTGTGAATTATTCTGTTAAGATGCTAATATCGGTCTATTATTTGTATTTATATAATTACACACTCAGTTCCTGACTTTTTTCTACTGTGTTGACCTGATTTTGCAAACTCTGTAGTGTTTTGTGACTTTTATGACTTTGCCTGCACCAGATGACATAAAGTATATATTTGGAGAAAAACATTAAATTTTAGATAAAATAAAAGGTAATATGTAGTTCTGTCTGAGTTGACAAAACAAACGAATAAATTCTTGCAAAAATTTTGTACTCCATCAAACTGTCCTCTTACGAATTACGGCTTAATTTGGCCGTTTGCCCGAAAATGGACGTAATTTGAAAATGAAAAAAAAAATAAAATAAATTTAGGATTATTTTTCCAAAACAGTAAATTAAGGGTCCTCAGGTGCGTTAGGAAAGCAGGAAATTCGCCTAAAGTTTCAAGACGTCATGAAAACCGTTAATTGAAAGTTTCCTCTCCTAACCTAAACAAGTAAGCCAGAGAACTCTAACAGAAAACGGGACAGTATATCACTTTCGTGAGCTGATTTAATTTCAAATTATGTCTATTTTTTATTATAGTGTGCAAATGGGCAAAAATTTACGTTATTTTTAAGAAGGGATGCCTGACAAACGGTGACGAGGAAAAGTAGGATAAAATGTTAATCCAGAGGAACTCTGTAGAGCTTGGAAGAAAAGTGAGGACATGGAGCTAACAATTAGGACAAGGTAGACTTATATGTATTTGTATATATGTATACTTGGGCAGCAGGCATTCTTTTATGCATATGTGGGAAAATATGACCGCATTGCTTTCTTTGCTGATCTTATAGTATAAGTTTCTATGCTTCTAACTATTTTCTTACTCTAGGGATTAAGACGATAAATCAAGTGAAAGAAAATCATGATAAACATGTTCTAAGGAATAATGAGGAGAATATTTTTTTATTTTTTACAACGTTTCGTTCAACTCCGGAATATTTTCAGGTAAATACACAGGATTGATTGACTGGTGAAGATTAAGCCATCCAAGAGGTGTCACGGACATGAATAAGCTGTAAGAATACACAGGGGTTTTGTTGTTTTAGACTCATCTACTTGGAACAAAACGTTCTAAGTAGCACAGGCTAGGGTGAGCCCCCTAAAAGCTATACTTTCATTCCTCCGTGTCGTCATTCCGTTTCACACCGCCGTGCTCCCACCATCACCCGTAGTGTAGCGATGCGAAGGTCGTCTGCTCCAGCTTCAGCTTCAGATGCATTAACCACAGTGGTATGAATGTAGAAATCTTGAATGTGTGATGCCGGTCTGGTAAGAGTAAGTTCATCTGATTTGTTTTGGTGAATACTCTCAGAAACTGGCTTCGATGCCAGTGATCCGTCACTGCACCTGCCCATGAACACCTGTGAGGTGATTGGGAGGGCTCACGCGTGAGATCACCATGATTAGCTTCATGTTCAAGTAGAGGGGTGAGGGCTCGATTGTGTGTGTGTACAGGACATGAATTTGTGTATGCTTTTACACCGGTAAACATATTTAGTGTGTGTGTCGTTGAGATGGTTCATCACCGTTAGGCTATAATTATTATCCATAGTGGAATACATTGTTGAGGTTATCTATTTCATGTTTAGATACCATATGCGTGTGTTCTCTTTCCAGAAGAATGCACTTCAGACCGTGTAGTGTACAGTTAAGGTATTTGGGAGATTTCCCAGGGTTGTTTACCGTATTATATCTGTGCCAGTGAATTACTTCATACAAATTCTGTGTTGTGTGATTTTTGCAGTGTTATATTATATAATTTCACTGTGGGAAGTGTGACACTCGTGGCAGGGGGCTGCCGGGTGTACTGTGTGTGTTACTCGTCTGTAAGATAAAACCTTGGGTGTATTCTTTGTGTGGGGAACACATGAAGGATTCAGTGAGTATTAACTGAGGGAAATTAACACACTAAAGGTGTAGCACATTGCTTGATGGGAAGGACTGTCGTGTTGTGAAGGTCTTGAGATTAACGTAAAAACGTTGGGTGGAATTATCTGTCCATTGGACAGCCAAAAATTCACACTAGCTAATTTGTGTCAGTTGCATTGCATAAGTGAACTGTTGGAGGGGGACAGTGGTTTGCGTTAACGTAATTTGTTCTAGATTACATTATCTGTTCGAGGGGCAGCTAAATAGTATATCATGTTAATTAGGGTAGATAATTAACGTCAAAGGGTTTGACTGACTGTCGAAGGGCGAAGTCAATTGGGCTAGCATAATTCGTTGTTTAATTAGATCTGTTGGTGGGGACAGTTGATTATGCACATAGGTTAATTGGGGAAAATTAATGCCTTTTAAATTCATAAGTGTATTGTTGACACCTGCTTAGGCAAGCTAATTAGAGCATTTAACGTTCCCGCTAACTTTTAAAGGCATAGACTTGAGAGAATGTGTTTAGTAATAAACAGTAGGGTTAACGTAACTTGTTGTGGATTAATTAGCTGTCCGTGTGACCGTAATTACTAAATTTCTCACTGAATGCTTGATGGGTCAGGTGTGATGTAATTAAGAGAGTGTTAGGGTTTTGACAGTTGAGTGTCTGAGAGACACGTTTATGTTAACGTGAAGAAAATTATTGTTTATTGCTGTGGACAGTCACTTGTCATAATTTAGTCATTGTTGACCTTTTAGTGTAATTTTCATTCTTTTGTTTGATGGTGTCTTAAGAGACAAGTGTTAACGTAGAACTGAGAGGTGGTGACTTGTGTTGTCACTTACCCTCCTAGTCGTTGCAATCTTAGCGCAGGGAGCTGCATGAGTTGTCTTATATTGCAGAAGGCTGTGAATAAGTTTGATTGCAATGTTGCGTAATCAGTGAACACTCCGAATTGTTCAAGTTAGTTCAGTTCAGCCTAGCGGCAATTGGCAGCAGTCATTGCTATTCATGGTTGTTGATAGCTGTATTGATAGTGCGACTGAGAAACACTAACGTTACATAAAATTCTTGTAGTAGTAGTTTAATATCTTGTTGAATAAACATTTTTGATTGTTAGAGAATGATCTTTATGTCAACCCCACAACAAAAAAGTTCCCACATTTTAAGCCTGTAATGGTTCATGTAAATTTTATCTGAAGGTCTGCTGCTGGGAAATTCGAAACCTGATTCATAGCGCCACACTTCAATACAAATTATCGAAGTGAGAATCCGTGGGTTACCTTTACTAGTGCTACAGCATATGAAAAGCTCGACGACACAGTGGATAAGGACTTCAACATTTTGTTGATGTCCTGGAGGCTGCTCCCGCCTCCAGGACATCAACAAAAAGGTCAATCCTAAAGAGTAATCTCCCAGTAAGGCGAGTGCGAAACTCTCAGGGTGGCACATGTGGTATGAGGTACAGCATAGGCGGGTAAAAAACATGAAGTACACAAAATAACCGAAAATGCTACTCTTCTTCCAAGAAATTAACAGCACCAATAGGGAAGCAATGCTGTTCACTTTAAACACTCTCGTGGCGATAGACTAACGGATGTTATCTTGAGATGATTTCGGGGCTTAGTGACCATGCGGCCCGGTCCTCGACCAGTCCTCCATCCCAAGAAAGCAGCCTGTGACAGCTGACTAACTCCCAAGGACCTATTTACTGCTAGGTAACAGGTGCATCAGGGTGAAAGAAACGCTGCCCATTGTTTCTCGCCGGTGCCCGGGATCGAACCCGGGACCACAGGATCACACGTGCAGTGTTCTGTCCGCTCAGCCACCGGCTCCCTCCCTGCTCACGACAATCACAGATAGTATAACTAGGTACTCACGTGTCTTCTGTGTGGACATCACGTGGTGGCCACTTTCTCTCTCTTCTTAAATCACTTGTACCCAAGTTAATTTACAAATCTCTTGAACCGGATTCTACAGCAAATCGTACTTGATGATTTTTTTGTACATGCATACATGCGAATAAATACAATAAAACAAGAACAAACAAACAGAACACAGACACAAAGACAAAAGCACAAACATAGACAAATACACTAAATACCGGCCTGAACGGCCGACAACAAAAACACAATAATGAGCATAAACTCAATGTAACACAGTAAAAAATAACAAACAACAAAACACAGGAGGATAATGGAAACAAACACAAGAAAACTACACAAATTACAAAATCACAAAATCACAGAAAATACCGGCCTGAAGGGCCGACAACAAAAAACAATAAGCACAGCAGTACAATTACAAAGAACCCAAACCCACACCCAACAACCCAACCCTTGAAACAACACAAAACAAGCCTACAGGCCCCAAAACCCACACGGAGAGGTACAAATACATAACCACAACAAATTAAATTAAATACTCCCACACACGCACGCGCACACGCACGCACGCAACCGCACCCCTCGCACACAAACGGACACAACACAACAACACATAGTACATACACAACAAAAATCACTTAAAAGGAGGAAACACGTCAATGGGAGGTGAATATTTCTCAGGAAACTCATGCAGAGGATATTTCTGCTTATCGGCCTCCCACACTAAGTATTCCCTGTCGGTAGGACAACGATTCCTCTGCTTCAGGGAGGCGTGCATAAAGGGGCATAATCTTTATAATCTTTATAAATTAAAAGTTGTTCAATTTGCTTATAAACTTATTTATTTATGAAATTGTTATAGAAAGGGCTGCAACTGGTCCAAGTTTCACCATCACACCCTAAACAGAAAAGGAGAAAAAAATACACAACGTATTATGCAACGAATTTTCAACATTTTCAAATAATATCAGGGAACACATG